CCAGTCAGAGGAGGTCTATGTCTCTACTCAGAGCACCCTCTATAGTCAGTGTCATAAGTGGCATATTGTGTGTACTTTCTATTAGAAAATCTTTATATTGACATATATAAAGTATATTCACCTAAAACAGTGATGGTGAACCTTTTAGAGTTTTCAGGGATAACAAATAGCCCATTGCAACATGCATGCCACAGTCTGCCACCACTGACCTAAAAGATTCATTTTAGTTAATAGTTACCTGTTTACACCAAAGTCACCACTGCAAAAACACTTCTTGCCCCTCCCCAGTCAAGACTTTCCCCCAGTTCCACCAGTGCAATCACTCTAACAGCCTTTCTCAAATGGGTGAGTTTTTTCTGCTTCTGAACTTCATGTATATATACTCATGAAGGTTTTATTTTTTGAATGTTTCATTTTTTTTCACTGATACGATGTTTTGGGATTTGTGTATATTGCTGTATTTAACAATTTACTCCTGTTATTGCCATGTAGTGTTCCACTATAGGAGCACATCACAACTTATTTATATGGTCTCTTGTTAATGGATATGTGGGTTGTTTCAGTTGTAAGATATTTTGACTAAAGAGTTGATAAAAAAGCAACTTTTTTTTTTCTTTTGCTTACGTTTTTGTGTGTGTGTGTTTTGAAGACTTTTTGTGGGCATATGTTCTCATTTCTTTTTGATTATGTAATTAAAAATAGAGCGACTGAGGCTGGACATGGTAACTCATGTCTATATTGTAGCACTTGGGAAACTGAGGCAGGAGGGCTGCTATGAGTTCAAAGCTAACCTGAGCTACAAAGTAGTTAAAGACACAGTGAACTGCATAGTGAAACCGTCTCAAAAAGAACAAAAAAAAAAGAAAGAACTAGTAATTTATAAAAAGTAAGGGCAGGGGATAGAGTTTAGAATGAGACCTTGGATTCACTCACGAGCAACAATGACAAGAAGGAGTAGCAAGTTTTGACAAGTATATGCTTAGCTGGAAGTAATGCAGCACTCAGGAGTACTTAAGTTGGTGTAGAATTTCAGAAAAGTTTTTGCCAGTTTCTGCTAACGCTAAGCATATAACATAGCACTTCCACTCCTCAGCATTTAACCAAGATAATAAAATCTCCTGGCAAAAAAAGGCATGCAGAAGGTTCAAGTTTCCAGTATTGACCGGTTTATACTATTAGGTGGCACCTCTGTTTAAAATTGTCCATTTAACCCTTTCGATGACACTGTGATGGGTGAGATTATAGCTTTTACACTCTTTATGAAATAGCATCCCCCGAAACAGCAACATCATGTTTAAAAGTCTTGTGTTCCAGGGGCTGGGGATTTAGCTCAGCAGCATAAGTGCCTGCCTTGCAAGTAGGCAGTCGTGAGTTCGATCCCCGGTACCGATAAAAAGGAAAAAGACCAAAAAAAAAAAAAAAGTCTTGTGTTTCTTCTTTTCCTAACGTAGTACCCTCCATTGAATAGGTCCTCAGCAAATATTCAGTAATGGGTTAAGGGATAAGGACTAAAGGATAACAACTATGATGTTTCTAAGTTAAAGTTCTAAAGGATTGTTAAGTTTCCTGTCACCAAGATTGATGTTCTGTGATCTTCAGCATCTTCAGCATCTGCATATGCAAAGGAGGATGTCACCCTGCCTCTGAATGCTGAAATCTCTCTCTGTTCCTATTTGTTTAACATCTGATAAAACACTCACAGTTCTTTGAAGAAAATTTAACCCATGTCACATTATACTTAAAATGGCAAAAGAATAAAGAATATTAAAAGCTATAATGGAGAGACTACAAGTCATTTATAGAGGCAAACCCCTCAGAATAACTTCAGGCTTCTGTGCAGAAACCTTGAACATTAAGGGGCATGGGAAGATGTATTTCAAGCCCTGAAAGAAAATAGATGTTGATCTAGATTATCATATTAAGCAAAGCTGTCTTTAAAAATTGAAAGAGAAATAAAGACCTTCCACAAGCATAAACAAAAGAAACTCATGACCACTAAGCCAGCATTGCAGAAGATAAAGGAAACCTAGAAGAATTCCTACAAAATAGTAGATAAACTAGAAAAATAGATAAACTAATGAGTAATAAAATATTAGAAAAGTAACAGAATTACAGGAATTAGTACAAACCTTTCTGTAGTAATCATTTTGGGGAGGTGGGTGAGGTACCAGGAATGAAACTCAGGACTTCATGATTGCCAGGCAGTTGCTGTGCCACTGAGCTGTATCTTTGGCCCTGTATCGTAATTACTGGTCTTAATTCTTCAATTAAGAGACACAAACTGACAAATTGGATTTTAAAAACAAGATCCAACTCTTTGCTGCTTGCAGGAAACACCTCACTAGTGAAGATATAGGCAGACTAAAAGAGAAAGGATGGAAACCAGTATTCTATGCAAGCAACCTCAGAGCAAGCAGGAGAAGCTATCCTCACATCTGACAAAGCAAACTTCAAAACGGAATTAGTCATACAAAACAAAGGTGACCACTACATATTGTTAAAAGGAACAGTGTACCAAGAAGATACTACACCTCTAAATATAGATATACCTAACATCAGTGTATCCAGTTTTATAAAGCAAATACTAGTCAACATAAAAGGACACATAGATCCCAATACAATAATAAAAATGAGTGACTTTACTATTCCACTTCATCCATAAATAGGTCACAGACAAAAACAAGAACAAAGAAATATCAGAGCTAACCTACATCAGATCAAAAGAATTTAACAGTTTTCTATAGAACATTATGTCCAACAACTACAGAATATACTTAAGACCAAAAAAGTCAATCCAGTCATTAAATTTGTAAGTGAATTAAACAGGTGCTTCTCAAGAGGTAGATATAAATGGTATCAAGTATATGAAAAAAATGTTTAATATCTGTAGTCATTAGGGAAATGCAAATCAAAACAATACAATTCAAGAAGAAAGAAACAAATGCTGGCAAGGATGTTGGGAGGGGATGTCTACATTGCTGGTGAAAATGTAAATTAATACAACCACTATGAAAACAAGTTAGAGGTTCCCCCCATAAAATAAAAACAGCTATCATTTGATACAGCTATATCTCTCCTTGGTATATTTCCAAGGCAATACCATACTATAGGATACCTGTATTATCAGTATTTATTGTACCATAATTCATCATAGGCAAAATATGGAGCCAGCCTAGATGCCCATCAACAGATGAATAGATAAAAGAAATGTAGTATAGATACATAATGGAGTATTATTCAGCCACAAGAAAGAATGAAGTTGTGTCATTTGCAAGAAAGTGGATGAATCTGGAGACCATTGTGTGAAGCAAAATAAGCAAGACAAACATCTCATGTTTTCTTTAAGTACAGAATCGAAAAATGATAACAAGAAAGTAGAAGAGAGACTTTAGCCAGATAAAGGGAATAGGAAGGAAGGAGAGGGGCATGTAACACCCACTTCAGAACCATAGTGACAGTTTAAAACTTGCTTTTGAGGGCTCCTCTTATCCAGCTGCCCATTGTTTTTTTTAATTTTAATTTTTTTTTTTTTTGTCTTTTTCGTTTTTATCGGTACCAGGGATCGAATTCACGACTGCCTGCTTGCAAGGCAGGCGCTTATGCCGCTGAGCTAAATCCCCAGCCCCCAGCTGCCCATTGTTGATGCTGTTCATGTTTGTTAAAATGCTGGGGTACAGTGGTCATACAGACCCTAGATTTCTAATGAGTCTTTAGGGACATTTATGGGAGGAGGGTTAAGGCTCCTTTTTTTTCAGAAATGGAATTAGGATCAGGATGAGTGCTTTTTTTCAAGATAGGATATCACTATGCAGTTCATGTTGGCCTTGAACTCAAATTCACAGCCATCCTTTTGCCTCAGAGTGCTAGGATTACAGGTATGCACCACCACACCCAGTTTAGGAGACAAGATTCTTGATGTGAATTATAGATAATTCAGACTACTGCCCTTCCTCAGAACTAGAGTGGCCACAGCTCTTCCTTCTCTGCACACCAGACTCCAGCTGTGGGTAAGAGGCTTACTGATAATAGTCTCCCCAAAGCTGCAACACCCTAGTGGGAGCCCATGGTCCTATGAAAAAGTGTGTTCTTATATGGCTCAATATGGTGTAGTTCAGAGCATATCAGCAAGGAGGTCAGACACTTAAGTGTGACAGATGGAACTTGCTGTAGTTGTGGAAACAAAGAATCAGGGTGCCTTTTGAAGACATAAGATTGAATAGTTAATGAATATGCACATGCTGAATATTATACATAATACCATATGGCTTCTTTTGAAGAATAAATCGAGTATATGCAAAAGATAGGCCCAAAGGAAATAGTTCATCAGAGTTTTAATAGTGTTTAACTTTGGGTCTGGATTAACGGGGATTTATACTAGTTTTGTTCCTTTGCCAACTATATTCACACATTTAGAGTAAGTCCATGTGACTTGTGTAATAAATCATGCCATATATTAGATAATGTGTACCTAAATGTGGTTCCAGAAAAGATGAGTGGGATTCTCTCTGAGGCTGCCTTGCTCAATAGATTTTTCTGTTTCTGTCTGAAGCTGGCCCCTACATGGATCATAGTCCTTTAGACTCCTTTTTACTTTCTTCTGTGTAGCTGTATAATATAAAACCATCTCCTCTGCCAGATCACAGCAAACCTTGAAGGAGTGGCTATTCTAGTGTACATATTTCTGGCAGGCTTGGTTTTCACAGTGTGGGATCTCAACAGTTGCACAGTTGCTGTCTAGATTGTGTTGAGTAGACCCTTCTTGTCAGCAGAAACTCTAACCACGGCTTCCAGGCAGGTAATATTAACTGAGGTTGTCCATAATTCCAGTAATCTTTTTCTCTTATGTTTTTCTAGCTCACGTGTCTAAAACGGCCTCTGGTTGTCATCCATGAGCTGTTTGACAAGTCCATCATGGATATATCTTGGTAAGGTGAATTCTTATTATGGTGCTATCTTAGTCACTTTCTTATTACCAAGACACAATACTTGACACCCACAAGTTAAAGGAGGAGAGAGATTTATTTTGACTGAAGTTTCAGAAGTCCATGGTTGCCGGATGTAGTGGTACATGCAGGTAATCCCAGCACTCAGGAGGCTGAGGCAGGAGGATCATAGCAAATTGAAGACCAGCCTGGGCTACAAAGTGAGCTCAAGACCAGCTTGAACTGCATAGTGAGACCCTGTTTCAAAAATACAAAAAAAGTCCATGGTTTGCAAACCCAAACACAAAAATGGTATGGTAGAAGGGCTTGCCATCAAAAAAAGCTGCTCATATCCTGAAGATACACCTTTCCAGGTCACACCTCAGATGACCTGTGCCTTCTGACCAGGCCCCACCTAGCAACAAGACAACTGTAGTGTCCCCATAATCCATTCACCTTCCAAACTCATGAGTCCTTTGAGTCCATTTTATATCTAAACTAGAAGAGGTACATAGGCTACAGTAAGTCATATGGTCTTCTGAATACAGTTAAGACAGGGAGTCTACTACACGCTCCCCAGGGAATGTAGATCTCAATATACTGTTTGCATATGATCTAGCATTCAGCAGTTCTGCACCTCCTGTTGTGAAAATGTCCTGCTCTGGCCAGGATTTACCAAAGGAAAATGCCTTCTCAAACAAACCATGTAGCTTTAGAATAGATACACATCCTCAAAATTTTTTAAAAAATAAATACAAAAGTTCTTACCAAACTGTACAGTAGGAGATATTTTGTCCATGCACCTATAACGGACACTAGGATATGACTCTAGGATTGCCCCCATTCTTAGGCCACAGAAGGAAACTAAACACTGTCCAGTCATCCTATAGGTCCGCCCCTGTGGTACAATATCCAGTTCAGGCAGTTGGCTTCCATACTCCTGATAGCTGTTTCTTTCAGGACTCTGAATGGACTGGGCATCCTGGTTTGTTCCATGGATGGTTCTGTGGCATTCCTCGACTTCTCCCAGGATGAACTTGGAGACCCCCTAAGTGAGGAAGAAAAGGTAGGCTTCTGGTTCATGTACTGTTGTGTGCTATATGCCCACAGAAATCACTAGATAGTTCTGAGAGATCCCTTTGACTAGGTCCTCTTCTTTTCGGATGAACATGTATTTATACATTGTTTCTTTAAAATTTTCTGATTTTCTCTCTCTCTCTCTCTCTCTCTCTCTCTCTCCTTTCTTTTTCTCTCTTCTCTTTTCTGTCTTCTCTCCTCTCCCTTCTCTCTCTCTCTCTCTCTCTCTCTCTTTTGAAGCAAGTCCTCAATATATGGCCCAGGCTGGCCTTGAACTAACTCATGATTCCTCTGTCTCATTCTTTAGAATGCTGGAATTACAGACAAGCCACCATACCCAGCTTGTTTCTTTAAATATTGTAGGGGGTTTGTCTTTTATAAATTATAATCCTTTGCAAATAGATTAATAATCTGTATTAGTGTCATAAACAAGTCCAGGAATTAAGAATGAAATTGGCTTCTGCCTCTCTTGAGCTAATAATAGGCCACCTGCAGGGATATTTTCGCCCCTAGGACACCCTCACCAGGGACCCCTGCTTATGGTATTTTTCCTATCCCACTGTCTTATTGATAGCAGCAGTTATAACAGTGATATATTTCTTAGTGTTTATACTTATTTCACTTAAATTACTGGGCCTGAGGTCTTTTGTCCTACCTTATCGCTGTCATTTGTTACTGTTACCGTGGCACTATGTGAATTCCCTGGAGGAGTCACTACGTGAGCCTGTATAATAACTGCTTTTAACTTACCATTTTCCCAGTTCACTGCCAGGTACACACTAGGAAAACCTTGGCCAGTCTCTGAATTAAGGTGACAGACTTGGGAGATACCAAGACATGAAGACAGCTAAGGAAGAAAATCCCTGGCTATACTCAGACCTGTAGCCACAAGTCCCAAGTCCTCCTTCCTGGAAAGCTGCTTCTCCCAACGCAGTACCTCCTGGTGTGAGACAGATACCCATTAACCATAGTCCCGCCAGACATAGTGACATATGCCTATAATCCCAACACTCTTTAGGTTGAGGCCAGATTGGTCTACAAAGTGAGTTCAAGGCCAGCCTGAACTGTGTAGTGAAACCCTGCCTCAAAAAGATAAAAGAAAAGAAAAAACCATAGCCTATGTCCTGCGCAGCATGCAATGCTAGTCATTTGTGTATCCTTGGGTTTATCCTTTTTCCTGTTGTGCGTTTATAAGCACCAATCACTTTGGTGTGCTGAGGACACTGTCCCTGCTCTTGTGGGTCTCTTGTCTAGCTTATTATGACAAAGAATTAATAGGTCCTAGGAGAAGGAGACCCTGCTCAGAAGAATCAGAAAAGTTAGGAAAAACAAGGAAACATAGAAGACTATCTTTTGGAGTGCAGTGCTAAGCCTCCCTTAGTTTTAGAGACACCATTACTCCTGTGGAGACCTCCTATCATAGTGGCTGATGTCTGAGGACAAAAGCAGCAAAAGCAGACTCTTGCTTCCAAGATCTGGTTCCCTTAGTGTTTAAGGTCCTTGAAATGAGTTAAGAGCCTTAGGTTAGCAATTTAGATGTCTGTATTTCAGTTGCAAAAGTGTTTATTGCCCTTTCTATCTGTACCAAACAGAGTAACAGGATTCTTTTGTTGGTGTTTTACTGTCATCCCCAGCTATAGATGCGTAGGAGGCTATAAACATCTAGTGAGAGGCCGGGCATGATGCACACACCTGTATTCCCAGTACTCAGGAGGCTGAGGCGGGAGAATCACCGTGAGTTCAAGGCCAGTCTAAATTGCATAAGAAAAACCCTGTCTGAAAAAGACAATTATTCAAGCAATAAATAAATAAATAAAATCTAATGAGATTGTAAGACTGACTGAAATGCCTAGTCGGGGACAGACGAGTTAGGTGGAAGATAACAAGATCCGGCCTCCCAGACCCTAAGACTCAGAGCCCTCAGTGTACCTATTAATGAGCCACAGCAATACTCAGACCCATGTGCCAAACCTCTCCTATCTTCCCATAGAGCCGCATTCACCAATCTACCTATGGTAAGAGCCTGGCCATTATGACCGAGGCTCAGCTCTCCACTGCTGTCATTGAGAACCCTGAGATGCTCAAGTATCAACGGAGGCAACAACAGCAGCAGCTGGACCAAAAGAGTGCCACTGCCAGAGAGACTGCCTCAGCTTCCTCAGTAACAGGGGTTGTTAATGGGGAAAGCCTAGAAGACATCAGGAAGGTAAGACTTTGGTTCAGTAGCACTGAGGACATGGGCACAGGGCAGCTAGGACTGTGTACAGAAGTGGAGCCACAGTCATGAGTTGTAGTAAAGAGGGTACATACTAAGCCTGTGTACAAGCTGCAGTTAGCTTGCTTAAGGCCAGTTGGTCCCATTGCCTGCAACTGCATGAGACACTAATGGGGTGCAAAGCTCCTTTTTAAAAGGCCTTCTATCCCAAGGACCCCTAGAGAAAGTAGTCTCTTACAGGACCTGCCAGACCTTTACTGGCTTACCTTTCTAAGACATTCTAGTCTTTCAGAACAGTGAATTTCAGGCTCTGCCTTTAGGAAACTTGTGAGTTCCCCTTCTTCATCTGGAAACCCATGTTTATTTGTGGGTGCAAGGGATTATAAATGGGGACAAGAGCAGGTTAGGAAATGTCAAGCTTACTTGGAGAACTTAACCCATCTCCTGTGCTTTGTCAATTGACAATCCTTCCCTGGGTTATTTAGACAGATATTATGACTAAGAACCCTTAGATACAAGCCTTTTTTGCAAGGAGGTACTCTTATGATAAAAGTCAGTTTGAAAACCACAAGTTTAGGGGAAAAAATATTGCTTATAGATACAGATCTGACCGTTTACTTCTTCACTGAACCCCATGGCAATCAGGTGGACTTAGCCAGCCTGTCATGTGCTTGCAGCCCCAAGAATCTAGCCATGTCTGTGGTATTGGTAGTAAAAGCAGAAGATGTGTGGTGCTGGTTCAGCTAGTAGCTTTCTATTTTTGCTTTTGTAATGTACAGGAAGTTCAGCACATACTTGGATAAAAATGCTTGAGCTTCGATTAGCTGGCTTCATTTTATTGTATCAAAAGGACTGTAGAGAAGGATGTTAAAATGTATCTTCTTAGGAGCCTTTCTCTTTCTCTCTGTTTTCTCTTTGTCCAATCCTTCTTTCTTCTCTGCCCATTCTCTCCCTTTATTTTTTCCCTCTAGAAATCTTGTTTTTTTCATCTCACTATAGTGAGCTATAATTTTGTTTCTGTTTTGTTGTTGTTGTTACTGTTTTTTGAGACAAGGTCTCACCATATAGTTCAAGCTGGCCTTGAACTCACTGTGTAGTCCTGCCCAGCTATCAACCCACAGTGATCCTCCTGCCTCAGACTCCCGAGTTCTGGGATTATAGGTGTGAACCACCTCAACTTGCTTATAATGAGGGATAACTGACATTTTAAAAAGTTAGATACACTTAATATTATACACAATTTAAGAATAAGCCAGACACAGGACAAATAATTTACTAAAACACTTAAATGAGGAATCTCAAACAGGGAGACTCACGGAATAGAGAGGAGAATGGTGGGTACCAGGGACTGTGGGGAGATGGGGAGGTACTGCCAAAGCATAGTCTTAGTCAGTCCTGGAGATCTACTGCACAGCACTGTGCGTGCAGTTAGCAGTACTATATTGCATATTTTATTTACTAAAAGAATAGATGTTACACTAAATACTCCTATCACAAAAAAAAAAAAAAAAAAAAGCAATTTTTTGGGTTTTTTTGAACATGGCAGAAACTTTTCCATTCATTTATTTGACTCTATTTTGCCAGAATCTTTTGAAGAAACAAGTTGAGACTCGGACAGCAGATGGTCGGAGAAGAATCACACCTCTCTGCATAGCACAGCTGGACACTGGGTACTCATTCATTCACCAAGCTTTCTGTGACCTTGTCTGGGGAGGTCTTCCTCTCTCCTTTCACTAGTTAGCACTTTTGTAGTTAAAGTCTTCACAAATTCTTGGGCCAGTAAGACTAACCAAATATAGAAGAGAGTTGTTCTTCCCAGAACTTTGTGTACACTTGAGACTCATGTGAAAAGGGCTGAGATGGCCTGCAAACTAGAAGGCCTTCTCAGAGCCAGTGTTTCTACCATACTTCACTGTTGGCAGGTCACTGGAGGACATATGAGTACAGCAGTCAGACTGGTTTTTTTCTTGTTTCATTTTTAACATTTTTCTGATTATATTTAAAAACCCAAAGAAAAGTATAAACATCCAAAATCCAGCCTCTCAGATATAACCCTTGCTAAAATTTTGACATCTGTATTTCTGATCTTTTTCCCCACTTGTTACTGTATCTATACCTTTTGTCTTCTGTAATAAATAGTCCTCTGAAGCCTTCATGTGCTGATTATTCAGGTTCCTGTTCTATGAAACACCATTATTGAACTGGTTTCTCAACTGCAGACTTGTAGTTTGTGTCCAGTTTTTTGTGACTGTAAATGAATCTTTGAGTAAACCTGTGACTGTTTCCTCAGAATAATTCTGAGAAATGGAACTGCTAGGCAGAGGATACTGAGGCACATTTCCTCCAGGGTCAGAAAGTACTGACATGGATTCCACCTTTGCCATTGTGTTAATGTCTACAGTCAGACTTGCTTTTGGATTAGTTGTTCGTCAGAAATGATGTTTGTTGATTCAAAGGGTGGTAAAGCCCTGATGAAGAAGACAGAACATTGTCAAGTTGTAGCTATCCTCTTAGGGCATTAAGAAGTCCCTGGTGGAGATCACAGCTCTACAGTCCTCTGCACTCTGCAGCTGTCCACCCATGATATGCTCCAGATACTCCTTGAACGCTAAATCAGTTGATCTCCTGAGTCAACTTTTAGTATTAGGTGTGGGCACAGAATCCCCACAAGGCAGAAATCTGGCTAGAATTAGATCTGCTTATTTCTCCTAGATCAAAAAGTTTCCTTTGATTAAGTCTTTTTCTTATATGACCTACAGTGGTTAAGCTAATTGCCCAGCTTTTATTAGAATCAAGTGAGACCAAATGTGTGAATGTGTTTTGAGTCCTGCTGGGCCTCTGGCAATGAAAGGTGGTGTTGTGTCAATGATGACTCTTTTCTGTGTATTCTTCCAGGTCTTTATGAGGAGGTAAGGGTCTGTTTGCCATTAGATACATATTTCTGACCCAAAACTTGATTCCTTTTGTTTTAAAGGGTGTTTAACCCTCCTAATTCCCATATTCAAATAAAGAACCATATAGTAATTATTAGATTAGTTAAAAAAGAAAACACAAATATTCAAATTAATGCTAAGTGGAAAGTAAATCAAAAGGATGAGTGCCTTCTTTGCTGAACTCCATGTGGATAAATTGGACAGTGGATAATTTTTGAAGAAAATAAAATTAAAATGAAAGAATTTGTTAGAAAACATAGAGGACACTGTCAACAAGTTAATACCACCAAAACCACCGTACCAAGAAGACTTCATGGGAAATCCTTTCAAATCTAAAGAACATTAACTCACTGAGTATGATGGCAAACATCTATAATCCTAGCACACAGGAGGCAGAGGCAGGAGGATCTCTGCAAGTATGAAACCAACCTGGACTACATAGAGACTTCAAGGACAGCATGGACTACATAGTGAGACCCTGTCTCAAAAAACAAAAAAGAACAGATTACTCATGTGTTACACATACTCTAGTGCATAGATAAATAAGGAAAATTTGAAAATTTCTTAAAAAAAGCATAATATTTATGTCAGAATGTAAAAAGGTAGCCAGATGCCATGGTGCATGCTGCTGATCTCAGCTATTCAGGAAGCAGAGGCAGTAGGATCACCTGAGTCCAGGAGTTTGAGATAGCCTGGGCAACTTAGACCTTATCTGAAAAGCAAAAGAAATCAAGGTACAACATAATAAATTAGAGATCTATGTCATTCCTATCAATGAAAATATATAAAATAGTAATAAACCAAAACTTTAGGTATGTTAGATGCTAATACCCATAACCAACTATGATTTTTAGGAAAGCAAATTCACATTTGGAGGAACTATTAAGTCTACATATCAATTGAGCAAAAGAAATACAAAGTATAATCACCTCTGTAGATGTTTTTAAGATATTTGAATAAAATTCCATGTTAATCAAGTGAGACCAAATGTGTGACCAAATACTTAGTTAAATGGAAATAGGATCGATGATTCTTTAACTCGGTAAATTGTCTTCTTTCAAATCAAGTTTAACAAGTCTAAGAATGTCTGCTTCCTACGTGACTTGCTTTCCCATTTGTCCCTAATGTAATCAAATCAAGTTCAGAGACTAAATAACTTTACTCTTGTGACTGTAATTTAATAATTGTCCTACAGGTTCAAGGTTATTTAGGCAAAAATAAATTGGAAAACAGAGTGAAAAATATATCTTCCTTATTTAAGGACGATATGATCTGTGTGAGAATCAACTGGAAAAACTGCCAGAGACAGTGAGATCGAGTATCACCAACTACTTTTAAGCAGATAAAGGAAGAAATCACATTCACAAATGAAGTATCTACAGTAAAACAAGAAATGTAAATCTTCAGTTTTTGTTTTTTTCTTTTAAGACAAGGGTCTTACTACATTGCCCAGGCTCATCTTGGCTTTACAAGTTTAAGCAATCCACTTGCCTCAGTCTCCTTAATAGCTGGGACTACAGGCACAAACCATTATATCTGGCTAGGAAATGTAAGTGCTTATTTTAAAAAAAAAAAAGTTAAACTGTATTAGAGATTTTATTAAAAGCAAACTCAAAGAGATACAACTAAAAATGCATACCATTGATTAGCTAGGATAACTCATATCATAAAGAAGTCAGTTCTCATGGAGATACATGCCTGTAACCCCAGCACTTGGGAGGCTGAGGCAGGAGGAAAGACCAAAAAATCAAGCCAGGAATGTAGCTCAGCAGCACAGCATCTGCCTGGCAACCCTGAGGCCCTCAGTTCAATTCCCATTACCAAAAAAAGTCAGAGGAATTAATTTGAATAAAGAATTCACCAAAGCCAGATGTGTTGGCTATGGTGACACACCTATCATCCCAGCACTTGACAGGCTGAGGCAAGAGGATTACAGTGAGTTCAAAGCCAGCCTGGACTAAGTAGTGAGAACTATGTCCAAAAAAACAAAGCAAGAATTAAAAAAGAAAAATATTTCTATATGGAAAAAAATAACTTTATATCACAATAATTGCAAACTACAGTTATGATATTATTTTTCATCTATCTGATAAGTTTCAAGAATTTGATAAAACTTGATGAGATTACAAGGAAATAGACTTACAAATAGCTTGTAATTTAAACCTGTAAGCAAGAAGCTTCAGAAATATTTATCAAAAATCAGGAACATACATTCTATTTGCTGGTTCAAGTCCATTTTTGAGAATTTATCCTATGTAATATGTGAATCAAGAAGTATAGTAACATTTTTTATTATAGTTCTGGTCTTTTTTTTAGTAAGAACTCCATGCCAAGCATGTGCTACACTAACTTTTAGTCCTGAAAGCAACCCCATTGGAAATTCCTAGCACTTTCTGTTTCACGTACAGATACTTGATATACTATAGAAATGACTGAAGTATACAAGCTCATGAACTTGCAAGTGACTGAAGAGTCAGCCCTGGCTGGTCTGGTCCATGGGCCTCAATTTAACACTGCAATATCTTGTCTCTGGTTGTGGCAGGAAAGGTTAAAAGATAGCTTGGTTTGCAGAGAATAGCTTATGTCAATTAGGATATATCCATGCAGTGAAAGGGCTTAGAGCCCTATTAAGGCCCTCTTAATATGCTGCACTTTTTCCATTTAAAGACATTACACAATTTAACACCTCTGGAATGACAGTAGTAGTGATAATAGTAATCATCATCATCTTTCTAGTAGTTGTTTTTCTTAATGGTATAGAGAGTACCAGTGCATCTTAGGTTTATTTACATATAGTATATTAAATGCATTTCATTTAGTTTGGACTTGATAACTTTCCAAATTACCTATCACAAAAATATATTGTTTCTGAACCAAGAAAAATGTTACATAAAAGATAGAAGGTACCTGATATGGCATCTGATTTTTGTTCTTGCTTGACAACAGGGACTTCTCCACGGCATTCTTTAACAGCATCCCACTCACAGGCTCCCTGGCAGGCACCATGCTATCCTCCCATAGCAGTCAGCAGCTACTGCCTCTGGACTCCAATACCCCAAACTCCTTCGGCGCCTCAAAGTCCTGCACAGAGCCTGTGGTGGCCACTGGTGCCAGACCTGCAGGCGAGTCCGTCACTAAGGACAGGTTAGTGGGTGCCAAGTCTTAGTCCTGTCCTTGGGGAGAACTCAGGTGTGGACATGGTTCCAAAGATGAGAATTTCATTCTGTACTCATTTCATGGATCTTTCAATAAAAAAAGGAAAAGAAATGGTTGCTTTGAGATGAGGATGTCTCAGAAGGGAGAATTTGTACAGTTACAGAGCTATGAGGACTTAAGTTTCCCACCTAACCAAGGATCAGGCTATTAATATTGGGGACCTGTCAATGAGATGACGCCTGCGACAAGGTTAGCCCACATTTTTACATATCTACAGTGAGTTGACCACCCATTTCTAGGCTTTGGCTTCCACTTCACTGTGTTGTGAGCTTTACAATTCACTCCTGGCAGGGCACTCATGCAAGCACACGACTTTGCTTACACTCTCAGAATCGTACTTAGAGCCTGTGTCTTCACTGACCATTATCTGGGAAATTAAGAAATCAGTATGGGCGAGGTAAATATGAATGAGAGTCAGAAGTACACATTTGTTCCATATATACTACCAGTTATACATTTTGCAGGAACCACGCATTCACAGGGGGTTGATTGATGGATTGGCTAATAATCAGGGCTGATACGAATATAGGCAACCACAGGACTTCAGGGTAGTTCCTAAGGTCCTAGAAGAATAGCTATCCATCTAAGAAGTTCATAGACCAGTCTGAGGGAAGCTTCTCAGAAGCTGTCCTCCCTAGCGCCCATATAAGCCAACCCAGGGAAAGGAGGTAGGAAGCAAAGACAACAGCAAGAGTAGAACTCCAAGAAAGGGGTAGGAATGAGGAGAAAGGCTGTGTTCCTATTCTGAACCTGGTTGTCCGGGGCGCAGAAGGCTTTGAGACTTTCATTTTAGGAAGATGATTTCAATAGTCAGTGGTGCCTGAATTTAGCCATCTTTTCACATACATAGTTGTTACTGAGAGTACCTTAGGTGGGATGGTGTCGTGTGTTATTGCAGCCTCTTGCTTCTGGGTTTAGGCATCTATGCTCTGGAGGCTCAATCAGACATCAAATGTCACTGCTTTTAGGGAACTGTGAGGGTGGATTAGAAGAGAAGGAACAGTGCAAAAAAACCAGGAAGCAAAACATCCAGGGAAAAAGGATATCTACAAAGGACAGGCATCACCAGAGCTGAGAAACTTACAAATGTTAGCCCTACAGGTCATGGAAGGATAAGGTTAAAGGTATTAGCTAGATAAGCAAGAGGCTCAGTGGCTTTAAGGCCCAAGAGTAAGAGATGGGCTTGGCAGAAGGGAAGCTGAACAAGCTCATGTCTGGGCCTCTCCTTTCTCCCTGGAATAGAAGGTAAGGACTATAGGGTGTGCACTTAGAGGAAGATGCTAGACTGAAGATGAAGGCCAGGAACAGACCATGACTGAAGACCAAACCCGGGAACAGAGCATGGCTTCAGGATTCTGGTTGGTTGGTCGGTTTTTCGGTACCCGGAATCAAACTCATGACCTCAGGCTGGCCAGGCAGGCACTGTGCTGCTGAGCTATATCCCTAGCCAGCTTGAGGATTCTGACTGGGGGATTTCTCACCAGCTCCATTAGGAAAGTGGCAAACGCGGCTAGTTGGAATGATTTGTAGTTGATGTGGCATATTTAGGCTATGGAAACAGAAATGTGTGTTATCCCTAAAAACTCTCAGAACAATATAGGGGGCAAATGACAGTGCATTGATTCATAATCCTCTCAGGTAGTCAAGTCTTCCAAAATTGTAGCATAAAAATTTTAAAGACTACATATTGAAATTTTTGTGTTGATAAAAGTTTGATAAGCCTCTTTTGATAGGCTCCAAGTGGTACAAATCCTAGTCTTCCACATTCTTTAGGGATTATACTTGATGTGTTTCCTGTTTTCTTCACCCCTCAGTATGAATGCTACCTCTACTCCTGCTGCATTGTCACCCTCCGTGTTAACAACCCCGTCCAAGATTGAACCCATGAAAGCATTTGACTCCCGATTCACAGAGCGTTCCAAAGCTACGCCAGGTGCTCCTTCCTTGACCAGTGTGACTTCAACAGCTGTAGAAAGGTAGGTGTTGACTGTGGGACCCTGAGAGACCAAAGAAGGTACAATATATCTGATTAAGGTATAGGATCCAAAATACATAAAAAACTCTTAAAACTCAACAATCAATAGACTAATTATTTTTTTTCTTGAGACAGGATCTTATTATATAAGACCTTGAACTCACTGTATAACCCAGGTTGGTCTCAAACTTATGGCAGTCTTCCTAACTGAGCCTGTAGAGTGCTGCGAGTAGAAGCATGTAGTACCATGACTGCTTTAATGTAATTTTTAAATGGATAAAATATTTAATAGAAATCTTTTCAAAGAATACAGAAATGAGTGTTAAAAAAGACACTCACATCACTACCCATTAGGGTGAACTGCATATTAAAATTATAGTGAGATCCCACCTCATTCCCACTAGAGTAAGCTATACTGTAATCAAAATGTCATATAAGAAGTTTTGGCAAGAATAAGGAGGGGACCAATGATATAGCTTAGTAATACAAGCACCTGCCTGTTAAGCACAAAATCCTGAATTCTATTACCAGTACCAAAAGGAAAAAAAAAGAATAGGGAGAAATTAGAACCCTCATACAGTGCTAGTGGAAGTATAAAATTATTCTGCTATTTTTTGTTTGTTTTGGGGAATTTGGTTGCTGTTTTGTTTTTTGTTTTGTGGTAGGGTTTCCCTATGTAGTTCAGGCTGGCCTTGAATGCATGTTGATTCTTTTGCCTGGCCTTCCAAGTGCTAGAATATCACTGTGCCTGAATTCATTCAGGTGTTTGAAAAGCAGTCTAAGGCTGGGGATTTAGGTCAGCGGCATAAGTGCATGCCTGGCAAGCATGAAGTCGGGAGTTCAATCCCTGGTACAAGAAAGAAAGAGAGAGAAAGAAAAGAGAGAATGCTACACTTAGGTATATACTTAAGAGAAATGAAAGCATAGATCATATAATTATTTAGGACTGTTTTAATAATTGTACTGATATTAACCAAAAAGTAGAAGCAACCCAAATATTCAATCACTGATAGACAACTAAGAAAGAAAATGGGGTATATCCATAAAATAGAATATTATTCATCAATAAAAAGGAACAGAATATTTTTTATGTACTACAAAGCTCTTGGAGACATAAAGCTAAGTGAAAGAAACTGGTAACAGAGCATCACATACAATATGATTTTCTTTTTGTAAAATGTCTAGCAATGCATAGAGACAAGAAAGTAGACTCTAGTGATTGCCTGGGGCTGACAGGAGGGAATAATTATTCATGAGTACAGTTTCTCTTTGGAATTATGAACAGTGGTCTCACATTAGACGATGATGGTTGTACAACTTAATGAATATTCTAAAACTGTTGAATTCTATACTTGAAAAAGAATTTTATAGCCAGGTGTGGTAGCACACACCAGTAATCCCAGCACTTAGGAGGCTGAGGATGACCTTGAGTTCAAGACCAGGAAAAAAAAAAATGTTATAATATGTAAATGTCTTTCAGTAAAAACTAAAAAGGATAGTATGCCCTCAGGAAAGACCAGGTTTGGAAATGAACCAAAACATACTTTTAGGAAAAAAAAATTAATTATTGCAGTGGAAAAGTCAGTGGATAATTCAGGAGAGCAGATTAAAGCCCACTAAAGAGAGCATTTAGCCTGAGAAACTGGTCAGATTGCCACAGAAGGGCAGAGGTGAAGCTGAAGAAGAGACAGAGAAGGGGTTTCTTCATACATCTCACAGGAGTCTCTAAAAAGAGAGGATCTGCTGCTGGGGGAGTTGTCAAGAGAGAGTTAGCACACTTACTAGAAGGCATTGAAACCTCATTTTTGAAAATGTGTTCCTGAACAGAATAAATAAAATTGAATTCCCACCTGAGAGAACAGCAGAGTGTTGAGGTAAAAAGACCTTTTATTCGTTGTTTCTGCCCCATTTGTGTTTCGGGTTCTGGTGGCCACGGTCACAACATTTTTCTCCTGATGGAGAAGTAAAGAGGATATTTTTGAATTGAATTGCTAAAGGCAAAAATTTGACTATACATCCTGGATCCTCATGCTCTGTTAGCTGTATCTCCAAGATTTCACTAGACATTTCAACTATACATACAACTTTTCAAGACCTGTAGAATAAGGAAACGATCAAGTTTGTCACTCTTGGACTCTCACTTAAAAGTGACTATGACCAAGTATTCACCTAAGGCTGACCATCCTACTTCTAAGACAGAAGAAGTGAAGGGTGAAGGGTTGAGAGCATTTACCTAGCATACATGGGGCCTTGCGTTCCATCCCCTGTACAGAGAGAGAGAAAGAGAGAGATAGACAGAGAAGAAATTGAGTTCGATCTTCACATGAAGTAAATAGAATAAAAGTAGCACCTGGTTTCTTTAATAAAGGCCTAGTAGAAAGTGTAGGCACTTTCTTGATAGAGCTGTTTCTTGCATTGATTCACAGTGCAAGCAAGGAAAACCCTTTAAGAAACCCATCATGGGATACTTCCTTCTAAGACTCGGTGTGTTATTCAGTGGTTAGGAGCAGCACTCAGAGCCATACATCCTGCAGTTGAGTCCCGGCTCCATGATTCCTCACAGGGTGATTTTGAGAAACGTAATCTTTCTGATCTTTTTTTTTTTTTTTTTTTTGAGACAGAGTCTCTATGCAGTTCAGGCTGGCCTTGAGCTCACTTTGTAGCCCAGGCTGGTCTCGAACTTGCAAAGATCCTCCTGCCTCAGCCTCCCGAGTGCTGGGATTACAGGTGTGAGCCACCACGCCCAGCATTTTTCTGATCTTTTTCCCTTACAATTGGATGCTCCTGGCAGTAGATCCTGCCTCGTAAGAGGTATCCCTGGGTTACTGACAAGTGAGTGCCTAT